ATAGTGTTTCCACAAGTGACAGCTAAAGACCCACTCCCAGATGGGACTGTGGTGTACACTGATGGATCAAAAACTGGTATGGGAGCTTATGTGGTCAAGGATAGGGTTATATCTAAACAATATAATGAAACTTCACCTCAAGTTGTAGAATGTCTGATAGTACTGGAGGTTCTTGAGGCTTTTCCAGGACCCCTCAATATTGTATCAGATTCCTCTTATGTGGTTAATGCAGTTAATCTCCTTGAGATAGCTGGAATAATAAGATCCTCCAGCAGAGTTGCTAACATCTTTCAGAAGATACAAGCTGCCTTGTTAAATAGGAGATTTCCTGTTTTCATTACCCATGTCCGAGCACATTCTGGACTCCCAGGTCCCATGTCCTTAGGGAATGACTTAGCGGACAAGGCTACAAAGCTGGTGGCCGCTGCCTTGTCTACCCATGCACAAGCAGCAAAAGAATTCCATAAGCGCTTTCATGTGACGGCTGAGACCTTGCGCCGTCGTTTTGCTCTATCCAGGAAAGAGGCTAGGGAAATTGTTACTCAATGCCAGAATTGCTGCGAATTCTTACCTACTCCCCACATGGGAATAAACCCACGTGGCATTAGACCATTGCAGATGTGGCAGATGGATGTTACTCATATTCCCTCTTTTGGAAGGCTTCAATATGTTCATGTTTCTGTTGACACCTGTTCTGGCGTAATGTTTGCCACACCCCTAACAGGGGAAAAGGCCTCATATGTGATTCAACATTGCCTTGAGGCCTGGAGTGCTTGGGGAAAACCCAGAATTTTAAAAACAGACAATGGACCAGCATATACCTCTCAAAAATTCCGACAGTTTTGTCGGCAAATGGATGTTACCCATCTAACTGGCCTACCTTATAACCCTCAAGGACAGGGCATTGTGGAACGTGCCCATCGTACACTCAAATCATATCTGATTAAACAAAAGGGAGTATTGAGGATGTTCTACCCTCGGTACCAAGAGTTGCTGTATCCATGGCACTTTTTACCCTTAATTTCTTGAACTGTGATGCCCAAGGCCACACTGCGGCTGATCGCCACAGTTTAGAGCCTGATAGGCCAAAAGAAATGGTAAAATGGAAAGATGTCTTGACTGATCTCTGGAAAGGCCCGGATCCTATTCTTATAAGATCCAGGGGAGCTGTGTGTGTTTTTCCACAGGAGGAAGAAAACCCCCTGTGGATCCCTGAAAGACTCACTCGAAGAGCTCCTTCACAACTCCAGAATAAGAAGGATGGAGGCCAAGTGGGTGATGAAGACTCTCCTACTCGGGATGATGGTTCCTAGTATGATGGGAGAGTTACGGTGGGCCATCATGTCTACCTTCCCCCTACCGATGCCAGTGATGCAGAATGCCCAGGTGTTCCCTAGATTTTTCACAAATAATAGAGAGTTGGGGCTTGCCTTTTTGCCTTTAGATCCTCAGATACAGAGTTTTCAGGATGAGAGAACCTTGTCATTAGTAGGAAGCTTGTGCTTTACTGTGATTTCTTCATTAAAGGATAATTTTATTCATATGGATCCAGAAAGATCTAATGCTAATCCTTTTGAATTAATGGAAGCTGTACTGATCTTTCTCCTATGATAGTGAGAAGGGACAGATTACTTTTGATTGGAAAGGGGCATTAGGCAACAGTCTGAGTGAGGGACAGAGCTCTGGATCATCTGATTGGTCCTCCTCCAATGTTAAGTATACCCCTTTTAAGAGAACTAATTATTCAGCTGCCCTTTATTTGGGTTGTGAGTAATGATACCTTAGGTAAGAATCAGAAAGAAATAAATTGTTCTGCTTAGAATTGTTTTTATGCATTATGCTGGGATGCTATTAAGCACCCTTTTGCTTTGGTAATGCGCATGCCTCGATTTATTCCAGCTCCTGTTGAGGCGCCAAGTAATTTGAGTTTGTTTAGGGAAAAGCGAGATTTTTGGGATCTCTGCTATTATTGTGGGCCTGATAGCCACCGCCGCGGTTACTGCTTCGGTTACCGCCTCGGCCCTTGCACTTTCTGCCACTGTGCAGACAACTCAAACCATTAATGAACTATAGGCCACTGTGACCATGGTCCTAGATAAACAGGCCACTGCCAATTCTCAGATACAAGGAGGCCTGATGTTGGTAAACCAACAGATTAATTTGGTTCAGGAACAATTGGATATATTGTGGCAGATGGCCAAATTGGGATGTGAACAAAGTTGCCTGGCCTTTGTGTCACTTAGTACAATATGAGAATTTTACAAGAGCAGCTAACCTGTCAAAAGCTCTGTCTCAACATTTATTACAGAATTGGACTTTTGAGTTTGAGCAGACACTCCGTGAGTTGAGAATGGCGATCCTGCAAGTGAATTCGACGCATCTGGATCTTTCTCTGATGGAAGACCTCTCCCCCTGGATTTCATCTGCATTTTCTTATTTTAAGGAATGGGTGGGGGTAGGATCATTTAGCCTAGTTCTCTGCTGTGGAATAGTGTTGATGCTTTGGATGGTGTGTACGCTCAGAGCCCAAACAAAAGGAGAAAGTGGTGGTGGCACAAGCACTTGCTGCCTTAGAACACGGAGCATCCCCTGACATTTGGTTAACCATGTTAAAGCAATAGGTCGCTGGCCTCCCAGCTCTTGCACCCCACGAGGCTAGTCTCATTGCACGGGATAGAGTGGGTAGGCTTCAGCAGCCCAAGGAGTTGCAAGGCTAAGCACTGCACAGGAGAGGTCTGCGGTATAACGACTTTCTCCTGGGAGATAAGTCATCTTGCATGAAGGTTCTATGTCATGATCTCCTTCCCCCAGAAAAAAGACATCGGACTGGTCAGGACTTCCTCTGGGGATAAGACCCTGGAGAGGAGCTTTGTACATGTTCCGAATTTGCACATGGGGATTTGACCTCTATCTCCACTCCAAAGTTGTGGGTGTCCTATTGCTTCAAAAATAAATGAATAGGGGAGATGTGAGGAGCCGCCCTCGCTATCGCTATTGCCGTTAGAAGATGGCGCTGACATCCACTGTCAGTTGGAGTTAACTGTCGCTGTCAGTTGGAGTTAACTGTCGCTGTCAGTTGGAGTTAACTGTCGCTGTCAGTTGGAGTTAACTGTCGCTGTCAGTTGGAGTTAACTGTCGCTGTCAGTTGGAGTTAACCGTTTAAACTGTGCCTCTCCCGTGACGTCATCTGGGGTGATGTGCAAACCACCAATCCCGGCTCTACACATCTCACTCGGAGCTCCTAGGCTTATATAAGGGGCTGGGTTTCTTAGCTTGGGGTCTCCCTCTAAGAAGCTGATCATCTATCTCTCAAGATGCATTAAAGCTTTACTGCAGAAGGATCCGAGTGGACTCCCAGGTCCCATGTCCTTGAGGTGAAGGAACAGGAGCTCTGGGGCTGCTTGAGAAAAGTGGGGCTGTGGCGCAGCAAATGCTACGCCAGACACACCACCACCACAACCACCACCACCACCACCAGGCATCAGATAGTGGCCAGATCGGATGCCCAAGCCTGAGACTGAGGTACAGCTTTGTCCATGGATGCTGAGCTCAGGTGCCCTGGGTCACTTGTGCAAACTCTGGCTGATCCCGGAGCTGCACACCCAAACGTCAGGCATGGCACTTTGGTCCTTCATATAAGTTGTGGATAAAATGGCAGTAAGGCCCTTAAGGGCAGACCAATGGTGGAAAGCTAGGTACATTTCCAGCTTGTTCTTGGTGTCAGAAGTAAGGTTGTTCAGATCATGGAAGCCAGGGGAAACTGTCACTTCTACCTTTACTTCAAAGTGTGCAGGTTGGGAGTATCCTTGTACAGCAAGGCCTGCCTCAAGCCAACACAAATCACATTCCATGCCTCTGAGCAAGGGGCAGTGAGGGCTGCAACCATCACTTGCAGAGCAAGGAGGAGGAAGGAATTAGTCACTCTGAGTGGGGGCAGAGAAGACACTAGAATGCTCCTGTGAGCCTTGAACACAGCAAGGTAACAATGTAGGAGGTCTAGCATTTGTACATTACACATGTTAGTTCCCTTCATTCCAACGGTAACTAATCTGACATCATCATCTTCATCATCACGTTTTCTGTATTCCTATAAAAACTGCCCACATTTGTGATACAAACTAGTCCAAGTGGCTGGAGATGTGATTCAGAATTAAGAATACTATCTATTCTTCCAAAGGCCCCTGTGTGAATCCCAGCACAAACATAACAGCTAAAACCACCTGTAACCCTAGGTGCAGGGAGTCCATCGCCTTGTTAGAACTACTGCGGATATCACATGCACACGGTGCACAGATATGCAAGCTGTTAAGACTCTTAAACTTCAAATACTGAACAATACTGAAAATTTGACTAAGGTAATTCTCATTCTGGTTTGTTGTGGTCACAGCATAATTCATCTTTGACTCATATCTGCAAAGATATAATATACAAGAACATATACTAGGGGCATTATTGCTCAATTCCAGTGAAAAAGTGAAAACTTATAACTTGCAGCATGAATAGGCCAGATAGAGAAAGTGGTTGTTGAGGTTAGGGAAGTGTGGACAAAGTTACGGTCTGTGATGAGCTGTCATGTATATCCATGTAATGAATCCTGCATAGTGAACTCCTGTGTGATTCAATGCAGTGACGACACTGGGGCCAATGTCTGCAATATTAAGCTGAGCTGAAGCCCAGAAGTTATGTGATGGGATTTTAGGTGAGGGAATGAACTTCTCTGTAATACCTGTCTTTAAAATGGCAAAGCATATAAAGATATGATGGTATATTGCTTGGGAATAAATCATTCCTCATATTTAATAATGTATTAGACTATGATTGGAACTTTGAGAGGAACAGCCTAGAATATTTTGGTCAGATTTCACAGAGTAGCTCTTGAAAACACCACCAGAACCTTTCAAACAGGTGGTCCTTCCTGTTGTAATCATATACATTGTGTTGTCTTTAGAAATGGGCTCCTCCGCCAGGTTGTGCCTGAGAATGTCAGATAAAGCGGCGGGCGGGGCGGCGGTGAGCACCGCCCGGGCTGGACATGGCGGCGCTCTATGCCTGCACCAAGTGCCACCAGCGCTTCCCCTTCGAGGCGCTGTCTCAGGGGCAGCAGCTGTGCAAGGAATGCTGGATTGCTCACCCTGTTGTGAAGTGCATCTACTGCAGGACTGAGTACCAGCAGGAGAGTAAAACCTATACAATATGCAAGAAATGTGCTCAGAACGTGCAGCTGTATGGAACGCCTAAGCCTTGTCAGTATTGCAACATAATTGCAGCATTTATTGGCAATAAATGCCAGCGCTGCACGAATTCAGAGAAGAAGTATGGACCTCCATATTCTTGTGAGCAGTGCAAGCAGCAGTGTGCGTTTGACAGGAAAGATGATGGAAAGAAGGTAGATGGGAAGTCGTTGTGTTGGCTCTGCACACTGTCATATAAGCGTGTCCTTCAGAAGACCACAGAGCAGAGGAAACATTTGAGCAGCTCTTCTGGAGCCAGCCATCAAGAGAAGGAGCAGTACAGCCGCCTGAGTAGTGGCAGCCATTACAGCAGCTTTTCCCCAGACCTGGCTCTGGATTCACCTGGCACTGACCACTCTGTCATCATTGCCCAGCTGAAGGAAGAGGTAGCCACTTTGAAGAAGATGCTGCATCCGAAGGATCAAATGATCTTAGAGAAAGAGAAGAAGATCACAGAACTGAAGGCTGATTTTCAGTATCAGGAGTCTCAGACTCCGGCCAAAATGAATCAAATGGAGAAAACCCACAAGGAAGTCACAGAGCAATTGCAGGCCAAAAACCGAGGGCTTCTGAAATAGGCAGCTGCTTTGTCCAAGAGCAAAAAGTCTGAGAAGTCAGGCACTATAACATCTCCGTGAACACCCCGAGAAGGCTCCCAGCAACACCAGCCAGTGCTCCTGGGTCAGGGTTGGCAACCTGGCTGTTCTGGGAATTGTGCTTTCCTACAAAATCTCTATTTTCTTACCGTTCCCCTTCTTTGTGCGAATGCAGTGGGCTGAATGGAAACACCTGGTTTGTGCCATGCTATGACTGCATGCTGAGCGTGTGGGATTTCAGACCTGCTCCTCCTCCTCCGCTCCCCTCTATGTCAGTACTCGATGTTTCCCATAGTGGTCACTGCTCAGTGTAATGTGCAGAGTTTCTGTCTGCTGTCACACCTGTCGTCCGCTGTGCATCACTGCCACCCTCTGAACCTTGAAAACTGCCACCTGAGACTTTGTGCAGTGAGAGAGCCTTTCTCTCGCTGATAAACCTTTTGCTTCAGGGTATACTCGTGGGTTTTTCCGGGTATATTATGTATGACCTTTGTACTATGTATAGACAGAGTTTTATTTATTTTTTTAAAAGGAAACCTTTTCTTGATAAAGGAATGATGGTAGCCTAGCTAGTTCTTGTAAAAGCAATGCCTTTTTGGGGAAAAAAGAAAAAATGCAGTCCTGTTTGCTAGCTTTTAGTAAGAGAATCCTATCTTTTCTTTCTCATTACCTTGGATTCTCAATGCTAAGGTAAATGCTGGGGGCGTAAGTGTGGAGCTAAGTGCCTTTGGAGGACTCTGGAAGAGCATTGAGGAGATGCTTAAGGGTGCAGAGAATTGACCAGTCTGTCTTTAAGTCAGGGCAGAAAGAACGGTTGTCCAGGTTGTACTGGACACTTTCCCCTTCTATCTACCCCTCCTTCTTTTACACAATTTTAAATTCCCACACTGCCATTTCTTTTTTAAAAACATACCTGTTTCTTGCTTGCGTCGGCTGTCATATCAGGCTGTTAATAGAACTTTTTTTAACATTAGCAGATTCAAGTGGGATAATATTTGAACTGCTTGTGTGTCTCCAGGGCTTGGCGTGGGCCTCCCTGAGTGTTCCCTTCTCATCTTGACCGAGTAGGCCGGTGGGAAGGGACAGGTTCATGTGGAGCCTCACTCCTCGATTTTTGTGAAAGAAACTGGAGACGGGCAGTAGGTGCCATGATGCAGAACAAACCCTGAATCAGTGCAAGGGTGTCAGAGCCGATCATGAAGACAGGTGACATCTGTACCACATCTGCCAGCGATGAACAGTTGAGGTCACTGTTCTCAGCAGGTGCTCCGCAGTTTGTGGTTGCATTGTCAGAAGAGACTCACACACACAGATGGACAGATACAGATGTGAGGGCTCTTTCCAACAGGAGACTGGAAGGGCCATGATTTATTTGTCACAGTGGTATGGAATGCAATTTTGCCTTCTAAGCAGGGAAAATTGCTGTGCTGAATCATTTTGTAACTTTTTGACTGAGAAACTTTGAGGTAAAGATAACTATCAGTCATACACTACTTTTTAGATATGTTTGCATTGGCTGTGGGGAAAAGATGGTAGAAAAAGAATGACAGCCGTGGTTTCTTAAAGCGTAAGACTGAGAAATTATGTATGTGAAATATGACAGTATACAGACACTCATTCAGTTTTATACTACATCTTTTTTAAGGTCTTAGCATTTAATACTCAGCAAACCTACACATTTTCTAAACGACCATGAGCTCCTGAATGGTAAAGAGTAAACCTCAGTCTTGAAATGTTGATTTTTTTTATCATGACAGCATTTTACCATGAAATTGAGTAACTTTTGGTAACATCTTCCATTTCTTTGTATGTTTGTGATAATGGACATTTTAAAACATAGGAATGTTTTGGTTTGTACAGACTTTGACAAATGTGTGCTAATAAAATTCATATTGACTCAGATAAAAAAGAAATGGGCTCCTCATCTTAAGTGGTACTTTCATAATTGTGAGATTTAGAGTGATTTTGTGACTGCACTAAGGTAAGTCTCTGGCTGCCATATTAATGTGACATTTTCTGATTTAAACCACCACAATACCACTGTTCAGAACGCAGGTCAAATCTAACCCACAACAGAAGCACCTAGGCTTCTGGGTGGGCCAGTTTCCTTATTTTTAAACTGGAAAGATGATTCTGAGCATAAGTCTTGTAGGACAAAGATGCCTTGGAATTATGTGGAGCCACCTGATGCTTCTTCACTCACTGGTACCCTGTAAGCTTAGTTCAGCTACCACGTAAAACACTTTCTCTTATTCTTAGTATGCCTGGGGCCTCCTCTTACATTTTATTCTAACATGGAGTTTGTCATCCATGCAGGAAATAGTTTTTCTTAATGCAGGTGGACTTCTGCAGATGTCTCTAAGCAAACAGACTATTCCTTAAAATAGAAAAACAAGGACTCATCCAAATTCTTTTTTAAACCAATGTTACCCTGATCTTGAGAGAGAGAGACAGACAGACAGATATACAGACAGACACACACACAACAACAACAATACACACGAGAGAGAGAGAGAGAGAGAGAGAGAGAGAGAGAAAGACAGAGTGAGACAGAGAGACATAGAGACAGAGAATTGTAGATCAATTACACTGATGAACATTACAAACAAATTCTATATAAATACTTGCAAACCAAATTCAGGATCACATCAAAATAATCATCCACCATGACTTGTTAGTCTTCATCTCAGACCTGCAAGAACATACATACATGAACAAATATATTCCATCACGTAAAATGAATGAAGTACAGAAACCAGAAGTATAGAAACCAGAAGGCCAGCTTATTAGATGCAAAAAGAAAGAAAGAAAAAGGAAAGGCCTTTGTAATAATCCAGACAAAATACTGGAGAATCTAGAGATACAAAGGCAGATTTCAATAAAATACAGTCATTTTACAAGCCCAAAGCAAGACCATGTTAAATAGAGAAAAACTCAAATTAATTCCAAGAAAATCAGGAACACGACTATGATATCCGCTCTTTTCATTTCTATTCAATATAGTACTTGGAGTCTTAGCTGGAACAATAAGACAACAGAAGGAGAAAAGGGGGGACACAAATAGAAAAGTGAGAAGGCAAAATTTCCTTATTGCAGATGATATGATTCTCAACAAATAAAAGTAAATATTTATCAAAAGTCCCTTAAAGCTGGTAAATACAGTCATAAAATGGAAAGATGCAAAACTAACACACAAAATTCAGTATTCTTCCTGCATACAAGGCAAGACATACTGAGAAAGGAATCAGGGAACAGTCCACTCACAATAGCCTTAAAATATATAATAAGACATTTGGAGTACCATTCTTTAAAAGCATACTACTAATAACAGATATGAAGTACACAAGAGCAGTCCTAAATGCATACAAGACCTTTGAAACTGACAATCTTAAAGACTTTCAAGACTTACATAAGTGGAAATTCTTAAACGTTTGTAGATAAGTAGATAATGTGAAGTGGTTATTTTACTAAATTAATAATACTAATGCAATAAATCTTGAATTGGGAAACATGAATTCAATAAATCACCCACTTCTGTGAAACTTAATAATCTGACCATAATTGTTCTATGATGTGACAAAGGATAATTGTCTAAGAGGGTTACGTTCTCTGCATTGCCATTAACACTAGGGCTATCTTTCAAGGTAAAGAAAAGCAGATAGCAATGGGGTTCCTGATTTCTTTTATACATACCTCATAATGAAAGTTTACATTTCCTGCAATGCAATAGAATACACAGGTGTGCTCTCTCCCGCTGCCCCCTCCTCTCTCTCTCTCTCTCCTCTCTTGCTCTCCCTTCTCTGCTCCTCTCTTCTGCTTCTTTTTCTCTCTCTCCCATTTGACAAATTCCACATGGTTAATGGAAATACAAACAAAACAAACAGAAAAAGAATACACAGGTGTATTTCTCAATAGTAGTATATGCATGATCATGTCATGAACATGTATGTATGTAGACTGCATTTATTTGGAGTAGCTAACATGTGATATGACATGTAAAATATGGATCTTTTTGCATCATGGAGTAGATGTCCATGGAGTAGGCCATGCCATCCACTCCTAAGTCACCATGTGTCTCTGGCTGGGAGCTGACAATGTAGCCAAAGCCATGTAGAAGTTGCAAAGCTCCATTCTATCTGATGCATTTTGCAGCTACTGGACTCTGACTAAAAATCAAGTTTCATAATGAAGAGTTTTGCTGTCTCACAGTCAAGATTGGCTCCGGTGCCTGCAGGAAGATTCCCAGTTCTTAAAGCACCACTGTATACCACCCCCTCAGCACTGTGATGGTGATGCCTGTGGCAATGGCTCTAATGAGGCAACTTATAGCTCAGACGCATTCCTAACCTGATGCTAGTCCCTGTCCACACTCCACTGTGCAATCTCACCTCGGAGGACTTGTATGGAGTCTTCTCCTCTCCTGGATATTCAAACCTGGCCTCAGTCTCCCACCCACAGTCCTGCTTGTGGCTGCTGGACCCCATGCTGGCGGGAGGCTGGCAGTGTGATTCACAGTCCTGGAATTAGGTTGTAGAGATATAGTGTGTGTATATGATGGTGCTGGTTCTCCTGAGACTCCTTGAATGCTACATAGTCTCACCCACTTCAGCAATAGCAAAGATGCCACTTTGGATGCCTGTATGGTCAGGATGTGTGTCCTATCACATGGTAGCTTGGGGTAATGGCCTGGGCTTTAATGCTACCTACCATGTTTGGGGATAATGTTTACCTTGGGAAAGACCTTGTGACTTCAGCTCAGGACTGGAGGATAGAAAAAAATCTAGGCAAGTGCTGCTATAGCGAGGTTCATTGTCATGAAGGTCCATGGGATTGTTTCAATGACACAGATGAGCAAGGTTGTCATGGCTACCCACCCAGGCGTTTCCCATGTGTAGCTGCTTTCTAGCCTGGAGCCACAGCCAGCTGCTACCTGCCTGCCAACTGTTTCACCAACCAAACATTCTGTGCTGATGGATAAGATGAAAGGCATGGCCGTCATTACTAGCCTGCAACTTCTAATGCTGGGATTAGAAGCCTGTGTATGAGACATGGGTGTGTGACGGACAGTCAGACTGTACTGATGTACTGATGAGTGTGACTCCTGCTATGCACTGGGCCAAAAGGTCATCACAGCAGCAGTCATGCACATCCTAGTGTGTGGGCTGTTGGGGGCCATCGCTCAGGGCTGCACCTCAAACTCTGTGCCATCTGCACTCAGGAGTACAGCATCTTTGTCCCTTCACCTGGATGGTGGCTGTGATCGTGCAGCAGCAGTCACCTTCTTCCTATGGGCAGCTTATTACCCAGGGTTCCATCCCACCTGTAGAAGACTTCCCTACAGAGAACCCCAACACTAACTCTGTGTTGTGATACCTGCCTTCTCTGCTCCCAGATCCACTACCCTCAGTGCCTCTAGAGGCCTCACTGGTGTCTGGAGTTGTAAGGTGTACCGA